CAGACAGCTGATCAAACAGTAAAAAAGGCCACTGAGCCATTTGTCGCTCGCTGTCGCAGAAAGGGAGTGATGAAATGTATGATAAGGGGATGTGCACTGGGGGCAAACCGAAAAGATTGCAATAAATGGTTGACCGTGATCGGGCCTTCCTACAGAGCTCATTGAAGGGACGTCGTACGTTGGGGATCCCTGGACGGTCGAATATGGTCGCTGGAGGGAGAGGTCGTTCTCGCCCTCAGAAAAGTATTTTCGGTTGTTGCTTTTCCTCGGATTTTCCTATTTGTAGGTTTTTAGTGTGATATATGCTCCTCTCCCTTGAAGGAACACCGAAACAGGTATTAAGCGGAAAACCTTAGAAAGATGGTGGGCAAGATGGGGCATGGGGAAGGGCGGGGTCGTACCAGAGGAGGAAATTTCGAAGGGGGTCGTATTTTGCAGAAATCGTCCTCAACAGCAGGGGTTGCCCTGTGGTCATTGATTCAGGCTTCCACTGCTCTTATACTTTAGGCGACAGCTGTTGTCTCGTGCCGAAGAAGCAGCCATTTCCTGTTTTGCTCACAATCTTCGGCACCTATTTTGGCGTGAAGGAGTGATAGCTGAGACTGTAATCGCTCTAGATCCTGGCTTCTCGGCTTGTAAAGCAGCTCTTTTGACATCAACAGGTTTGTTGTTTTTTTTTTGAATCTTTATCTTCACTCTAAGTCTGTAACAAGTTTACTGGGGCAGTTCGGCAACGGGTGTGGGAGCATTTTGCACTTTTGCTACTTCCACATCAACGTGTCGACCCATCTAGACAGCCTCTTCTCGAGTTGACAGGTTTTACCATGATGGCTTGACGAGCTTGCTCCAGCTTCACAAGAGTTCACAGGTTTCACCAGAGTGAGACTTGTAAACCAGAACTAGTGAAGCAACGAAAGTGCAAAATGCCCCCCCCCCCCCCGTCGCCGAACTGCCCACGTTTATCTTTGAAATAAGATAGCCAATCATCCTCAGTTGCAAAGTAGAGGCTTGGTAGAGCCTTGATAGTAAACAGTCATTGTCCCTGCAAACGAGAGGGCGCGGGAAGAGGCGTGAACCTGTGCGGCCTTTTCCACCAATTGGTGCTCAGTATTGCATCATTTGGTAGGATAAAGACCACCCTTGTTGCGCTCCAACCCACATCCCCTCAGACGCCCTCTCCGTCGCCGGAACAATGACCATACTTGTGTTCGCTGAGCGCGTTGTGCACCAAAATGGATTGGATGTTGTTCATTGTTCTGATCCTCCTAGTCCTGCGGCGATGGTGTAACGTCGAAATCGGTGTCGCCTACTGCACAATGGGTCTGGAGGTCAGATCTCTTCCATAGAGTCCCGTCTGAACCAAGCAGGGTTTCCCTATAGGGCTGGGGAACTGGTACCATGCTTGTCTGGAGGGGTAAAAGTACACACTTGTGCATTGCCTGGATCCCGCAAGCTATCGTATGGGGCGACATAGCATTCAAAGTGCCACTTTGTCCTTGAATGGGAGGGGATGTGTGACAGATCCCAAAACGGGTTGATCAACACCAAGAGCTTTATATTTTCTCTGTAGTATGTAGAGTGACTGTCTTGCATCTTTATTTTCGGAATGTTTCAATTATATTTAAACTACCTTTTTACTGTGCCCCTACAGTACAAGTAAAATGTGCATAATTCGGCGCAATTTAATTGTATACATTGTCGTTTTGGTAAGTGAGACGGTCCTCTGGACATTCACGTTCGTCACGTAAAACCGCGACTCTTAAGCATTTGATCGTAATCATCGTTGAATTTCTGCGTCTCTTCTGGAGTGATTATCTGAAATGTAAACTTCAGTACCGAAGTCTCATCACAGAAAATAGAATTTTGAACCTTTTTAGCCTAGAAGCTCTTTCTTCGAAATTCTAGCCTAGAACTTCATCGTACTTTACCACTAGGGATAGGTCTGGAGACAAATTTGCGCGCATAATAATTAGACTCCCCGATCGCGTACGGTCATGATCCATGTAAGCGACAGGGCCTGTGACGCGGCTAGTACCGGGGCGCTCTTCACACACGCCAGTGAGGTCATCGTAAGTCAGCTACAACTGGTGAGAAATCTGACCGCTCCAACCATGTCCCCGTCTGACGCCTTATCGTTTGCCGGTATCGTGACTGAATACAGAACACGTTCTGGTGTTGGGGAAAATTCTTGCAGGATGCGACCCCCGCGCTAACCTTCAAGTTTTCGGCGACCACTAGTAGAATCCGATGCATGTAGAGGTACTGGGCATCCATTTGAACGGCTCCATGACGCATTTCTCGCAGTTCGCTGACCACTTTTAGTAGAGTTGCCTGGAACAGATTTGGCACTGGCCACGTAGACAGATGCACGTGCGTTTCCCAGTGCTCAACTCACGTCCTTTTCGCCCTTTTCCAGTCGTCGATAGAGCAAATCGATCCCAACTACTGTGCCAGTGCGTCCAATGCCTGCTGAGCAATGCACAACACATGGAGTAAGACGATTCACCTTAAAAGTCGGACTCATTTAGACATTCGTGGTAGTGAATTGTAAATGGGGAAGCTGGGGCAGTTTGACAACGGGGGTCCAAAGGAGATGTGGTCGACAGTATGGTTGCAAAGAGAGTGGATGCCTCAGTAAGGGAAGCTGGGGTACTTCGGCGACGGAGGGAGGCATTTTGGACATCACATCGCAAGGGTTCACAGATTTCACCAGAGGGAGACTTGTAAACCGGAACTAGTGAAGCAGCGAGAGTGCAAAATGTCCCTCCACCGTCGCCGAGTTGCGCCGGGGAGTTAACTGTTAGGGCTCTTGGGGCAGAATCGTAGCGAAGCAGAGATTATGTGCACTTTTGTGATGCGAGAAAGTTCAGTACCTCCGGAACTGGGTGGCACAAGCTGGTAGCGAGGCTGTGTTCTTTAAAAGGCTCGTAAATGTGCAGAAGCGTGGCTACAAGCTTATCAGGAATCTGTGAAGCATGGATGCTACTCCGGGCTGTGGCCTCTTTCACCTGCCACTTGAGTGCTTTTCGTCTGCACGCGCGCTCTGTGTTGACGAATAGGTCATTGTTTGGGGAACTCTTTCGTCTCCAAAGATGTTTAGCTAAGATGGTGGAGACCTGCGTAAGAAGACGGAAGATAGACAACGTCGTCGAAGCGGGTACACCTCGATCAGGCCAGTCTTTCCAGTGGAAATGTTCTAGTGAATGTTCTTGCTGAAAAGACATTGATAAAGTCTCTTGTCGTGACGCAATTTATTAATATTGCTCTTCAGGAGGTTAGAATACTTACTCCTTCGTGACGCGTCACACATATCAATTTTTTGTCAAAATCACAACCTTTCTCGATGGCATTCAGTCGGACGAATTTAAACGTGATGGTCGCTGGGCAGTTTCATCTACGAGTAGATGTTGTACTAAGGATTACTGATCATAAGATGAAATTCACTCGTATTTATCCGTTGCAATCCGCTGCAGACGAGGGGTTTGTCAGAGGTATGAGTTGAACGCGTTGCGCCAAACCCTTATTCCGCCAGCTTGTTTGAAAACGAGCAATGGTATGGCTGTATCATATCGTGCGTATCACTCGTTTTCTATCGATTGTTGTCGCATACCAGCTTTCGACAACTGTCGGAGAACGTGATTGCCGCCGTGGCGCACGGTCATCTACTGACACGCCCTTCATCCGCCAGCGGAACTTAGTAGTATAGATATTTTCGTAGTTTTGTAGTCTCACACGTAAATGAGACCGTGGAAAAGCTGTTGTAGCGCAGGGAGATATCTTGGCTGATGGTAGGGTGTTGTCGCAGAGGTCGCTTTGGTGGCGGACTCTGCTCGTAACTTCATATTCCACCCCGCTGCTATTTGAGGTTTCGTTTTCTCCTTGCTCGTTTGCATGCTCTCTCGCTGTTCCCCTCTGATAGCCGTTTTTTCGCTAGAAGCAAACCGCGCCGCTGCTATTTGAGGTATTTTCTTGTCTGTAGCGTTTTCGTCAGCTGATTTCGTTGACTGATTTTCATTTTGCAGGCGGTTCAACTAACACTTCAGTTTTTTCCCTCTCTATGACCATTTGTGGAAGCTGGAAGGACACCAGTAAGAGGAAAACGGTGTGAAGTTGCTCCCCCCCCCCCCTCATTGACGCGCCCCAGCTTCCTCAGCACTGTTCTACAACTCTGATGGTAATTGGATGCGCAGCGTCCTGTGTTATCTGGGAACTCCTGTACTGTTTCTGTTTTTTTTGAATTTGGTTCCTCACCGGTGTTTCTGCGCTGAGTGGCCAGTACTGTTCACATTTCTGTTTACCACATTCCGTGAGATTGCAGAGCATTACAATACTTCGGCACTTCTCCTGCCATATCATTCGCCAAAAATCGTCGATGGTTTTATCCATTGGACCCTACAAATCACCTCCTGTGATGGATATCCTTCTGGCTTTACAGAGAAGCACTATTCCACTATTTAGTAGACGTTTGTGATTTTATATGACCTGTGTGCAAATGAATTTTTTCGGCTTCTCCACGCTGGACACCCAGTTGGCGTTTATATAGTCGTTCATTCCGGCAGGCCATGTCAGGATCACCCTTGTCGTGTCAACACAAAAGACCTCTGAAGTGTTCTTTCATAGACAGTCCGCTGGAATGTTATCTTAAAGACAAACTGTACAGTTATTTCCGTGGATTCCGGTCCTTACCGAATGGGAGGACAGTGGGTGTGCAGCTGCAAGAGCGAGCCATTTCGCCCGGGTAGTGCTTTGAAAACGGGGCTGAGGAGAGTGGCACCTGAGTGCCGCCTCCATACCTCATCTGCGCTGCCGCACGGCCGCTCGCGCGCCTGATCATAGATAAATGCTCCACTTGTCTGCACCCTCTCACTTTTTGTTCCCTGCCGCTGAGTAGGTGTCTTGCTTGGTGTTGAGGCAAGCTGTACTTTGAGGATAGCGCGGACAGAGTACGGAGAGGACGTGACACGTTGGTATCACTACGCTCACTAAGCCCAAGCCTCATTTCCGTACACTTTGAGAGGAGAAAGCGGCACGCTTCTGCAGTTGTCCACCCATGGCAAGGACCATTCTCGAAGGAAAGCGTACAGTTCCTCTCCAAGTTGTTCACTAGTCAAGCTGAGCATTTTACCGCGGTATCGATTCTTGTCTTGATTCGCTTCCCATGCGGTCTTTGGCCGATTGCCTATGGACTGTGTGGCCATTTTTAGTTTCATAAATTCATCGGTCAGTGCGTTGACTCCCATCTGCGAGTAAACTTTTGTAGACCTGGTCGTCACATCGTGGAAAGTAAAGACTTTGATAGTGTGCAGGACCGAGGGACTCACCTTCAGTGTTCGATCGCAGAACATCTTGAACGCCTCTTTGAATACTGTCTGGTCCACCGCGTGTGGTCGAGCTGTAGGTCGCCGGGATCTTCGTTTTGCTTTTCGTTCAACTTGCGTGCCGTCCTCCTCGACCGTTGTCACTGCATATGGGGTACTTTCCTTGTTGTACCAATTTCAGTAAAAGATGACTAACTTGTTATTGTGTTACTTGGTCTTCGGCGAAATTTTGGCACTTTTCCAAGCTTCGAGCGTTCCATCTCATCTGTAGAGTTTGGGGTGTTCTATAAGACGCAACGCAAAACTGGTAGGTGCAACTCACGTATTTCGCACAGACTGCCCTTCCAAACCAATATAGAGAAATGAGACTAACCGCTATTAGCCTCTCTGTGAGCGCGGTGCATTTTGGTGGAGAATGGACTGATACCTTTACTGATAACAATTCATTAGGCATTGTCCACATCTGGAACCCTGCGTTTCTCTCGAAAGAAATGCTTCGGCGAAAAGCTTCAGATGCGTATCAATTGACGGTTCGGCGAAGAGTCTGGCGGTTGGTTTTGATACGTATCGACGGCGATTCGGCGGAGCCTTTGGTCAAAAAACGCTAGCTCGACCGCCCTGGCGTTTTTCTCTGCGGCGGGACCAGCAAAATCGATGCGCATCTATTGCTTTTTGCCGAATTGCTGACGCCATCTGAACAGCACTTTCGCAATGTATTGGTCTTCCTGCACCTGTCTGGCCTCGCCCTTAAGGGCACGATTTGCGATCAGGTATAGGAAGTTGGAAAATAATAGTTGTCAAGAGAGTAGTGTGGTCCGCGATGAGCAACCTTGTATCGGTTTCGCGGCAAAAGTTATAAGGGAAAGGCGCTACAACGCTATATCGGTTCAGTGACGCCTCCTTTTCTTCAGTGACTCCGCCCTCGGTGGCCTACCTTTTAGTGAAAACGAAGGCTGCGGATGAAAGAGCACGATACATCATCGTATGCGGTCCAGGGGTATGTGACAAGAGGATCGTAATTCGCCGCGCTGCTGGGCGTCGCGTGCGACGTCTCGTCTGCAAAGGACGATGGTTCCAGGTAGTAGATGGCGACAACATGCAATTAAGGACCGAAAAGTAATGACTGTCTATGATGACGGGGTCTACATGAAGTCCGATGCTCCATTTGACAGGTTAAAAGACGAAGTTATAAAAAAGCCGCGCCCCATCGCCGCGCCTTGGCGGTGCGGCCGGATACGATCCTCTCTTAACCGTCTCCGCAGGTCCGTAGAGTTTTTATCGGTTATGAGCTAGGCGGGGAGGGTGTAGTTTTCAAGAATGGAGTTTCATCGGGTACGTACAAACTGAGAACGGAATAGGGTTCTATATGGGCAGTTGGCATGTTTCTTTTCTGTTTTTCTTCACTATCAAGTTACTCAGAACCCTGTCGTCTATATGCAAGCCCCTAATCGACTATCTGTGATGGCGAATGATCGCGAGCTTCACCTTTAATGAATCCTTTGTACGTCTGGTGGAGATTTAGAAGGGAATCTTGCCAGTTGCACGATTACCTAGTGGTGGTTCGGCAAGTTCAGGGAAGATGACTCGAAATGAAGACAGGTCTGGGCACCCAGTGACATTGGATTTGGACTTGTTGCAAAACCGTATAGAGGAGGATCCATGCCAAACTACTCGCCAACTGTCAAGTCTTGGTGTTTCCCACACAACCGTTCTTCATGGAGCGAAGTTGATCGGCAAGGTCCGAAAATCAGGTAGATAGGTACCCCTTGCATTGACGCATGAATCGCGGGGTAGACATGGCACTCACTCTTCCCACTACGCGAATGCGACAACTTTGTCACCTTACCACTGGGAAGCAGATACTCTAACGTGTACCACCGTGCCCTGTGGGTTAACGAAGCAGAAGAGGCAGAGGACGTGCTCAGCTCTGCGGAAAAAGGTGATACTGTGCATATGGTGGAGCGTTCGTGGCGTATAGTTGGGAGCTACTAGACGAGGAAACGACCGTGACGGCCAACATCTACATTACTCAGCTACGAAAGCTGAACACCCTCTTGGAACTACTCGTGGGGAACTAAGCAATGTTTACTTCCAGCTCGACAACGCTGTCCACACATTCCTAGAGCGACCAAGACTGAGCTGACAACGTGGATCGAAGTTGCCCACCCACCTTACTCTCCAGCTCCTGCGCCTCCCAACTATCATCTGTTTTCAAACCTTCAGAGGCATTTAGATGGAAAAGATTTCAAGAAAAAAAAGACTGAAAAGGAATAAGAAGCTCCCTAAGAAGAAGAATAGGCCCAGCCAGCTATGTTCTGGAGGAGAGGAATTTACGATCTGCTTGTCCGCTAGCAGAAGACCATAATATAGCCCCGGGGCACCTTTCAAATAGATCGCAATTTTTGTTCTAATGTAGTAACACACGATAGACAATTGTGTCTGCAACTATTATCATGTCTTGTGTCTGAACATTAATACAGTTGAACCGAAGTAAAACCTCTACTTACTAAGCATTAATGGAAGTCAACAGAAATCGTCTTGCAAGCACGTTCATAGAGGACGCTTGTATGTCAGTGCTCCGTATTTCTATCATGATACAATTCTGTTTTCTTCGCTGAGCTTGATGATTCATAGGCTTGGAATCTTCATTCGTGACCGGCTCGCCCAAGTGCACCTGCACCTTCGCTCCTTGCGAACTGGCTTGAGATCGACCTCCGCACCCTCTGTGGTGGTAGAAACATTCAACTGTTACCCTGTGGAATCCATCTCAATAACTCGAAACCGCATTTAAAGCACAGAACTGGTTCTGAATGAGAGCAGAATACCTCCGGCATTCTCGAGAAAGGATGTCTATCAACAAACTTTTCATCTTTCAAGATAATAAGTGAAATAAGTGGAATGTAAAGTAACTCAGTACGGCTCATTACGCTTGCCGGACGATGCAAATGAGTGCCGCACACGGATGAGTAGGCTGAACAGCATTTTATTACTCGGTTGGTGTGCAGATTTTCAGTTGTCAGTTCGCGAAAATGCCCTTGATAGCACTGCGAATCGCTAAGCTTTGCAGTGGGCGGGGTGTGCTGGATTTGAATATGGGTACGATGTGTTTTGTGGGATATTTCCTTTATACAAGTGTCTTTGTCTCTTTTTTGGCAGTTGAACGAATGTCATGGTGGCACTGTTAAAGAACTGGAAATCCTTTCCAAAAGCGGCAGCTGCCTGCCAGGTTTTACGATGAAGTTACGGCAGCCACTGTCTCCAGCTTTGGGTTATGTATCTCAGTAGTCGTAATAAGGAGAGCTGCAAGAGGAGGAAAACGCTCACAGAACAGCCTAACCAATCAGTCTTTCGGTATCCGTCTAGTGTTGTGCTGTGGTTGTGATAGGGCCCCCAATCTGATGCCCCGCTAAGGGACATCTACTTAGAACACCAGAAGTTACTTAACAAGGTTCTGTGTCGCATATCAAGATGAACATGTGGACAGTCCTAATACGGGCACTTGATTAGGCGGCCGAGGGTCGCGCCGCGCGGCTGCGGCGTGTCACGAGCGCGGCGATCAGCTGTTTCCAGCCTATTTTAGCCATTTCTCCCTAATTTACACTGTTTTGGCTGCTTTTCTCAAGATTAGTTGTTCCTTGTCTTCACAAGGTAAATTATGATTGAGATTCCTCTGATTTTTGCGTACAATTAAACAGTTAAGCAGACAATTGAACAAATACCTGAAAAAAATCGCAAAAACACTATTGCAAAAACAAAAAAGAGTCCACATCCTAACACACTTCATAAAGGCAATAAAACAACTTACCTTGAAAGAAAAATAGAAAAACACACTGAAAATTAGGGAGAAAATGGCCAAATTAGGCCGGAAACAGCTGATCGCCGCGGTCGTGACGCGCTGCAGCCGCGTCGCGACCCTTGACCGCCCAATCAAGTGCCCGGATGACGACTGTAGGGTATGGGTGGCACACATCGCAAGGGGTAGTGTGGCAACGGACAGTGGAAGACAATAGCTTGTCGGATAGAAAACATGGCTGGTGAACATTTGGTAATTAGATATAATATAACTTCAAATTTGTTTGGTGATGAGCAGTATCTCACGGCTACCAGAGGAATTTGCTCCCAGCTTCATACTTTAGGTTGGATTCCACATTTTAAGCTCGAAATTCCTTGGGAAATTCTAAAAGTTTCTTGAATGAAGACGGAGAATTTGCAAGTGGAATGCAGACCATTATATCGCTCAACTATGAGCACTTCTTCATATTAAGGAGGATACGTTGAGATTTACACCCATGAATTGCGATAAAATGTGGATCTCTTCAGGGTCAGTTGTGGAGACAGCTGAATTTGGCCTCAATGGCAAATCATTCGACCGTAAAGGAGAAGACTTTCTGGTGAAGTGGGTTACACAGAGTGGAGACGGACGAGTGGTTATGGCGATAGGCAATGGAAAGGCATCATTCGAGACACAGGTGGCCGTAGCTGGCATGATACGCAGTGGGAAGTTCATGCCGAAGGATGTGAGATTCTGGTTCGTCTTAGTTATTTACCTCTTTACTCGTCATTAGCAACAGAGACGAAAATCATATTTTTGAAGTACAGTACCCGAAAATGGCGCGTCGAAATACAGTATAACACCATTAGGCGGAGACAGGACTTACCAAATATGCCACCAACTCAGAGGAGCGCCGGTGAGTTTATATTGAAAGTAATTCAGTTGTGGCTGTTTTTCAAGTTGAACGCTTCCAGTTTCCATCGGACGTCGTCTTATTGACCCGATGGCTGAGTATGTGAAGATCGAACCGAAACATCTCGGTATGGGCATGTATCAGGTTTGTGGGTTCATTTCTATTTCTTATTAATTCTTCCATAGTTATTTATTTATTTGTTTACTTATTTATTTATATTATTTCCCACTATATCAAACATTAATCAGCACTCCGTGAATACGAAAAGGTTGTCCGAGGCGCTGGAGCTGGTTGTAAGAGAATGCGTGTCGATGCGAGGTGTAGACGTAAATGTGGCATCTGTACAACTTTTGGAGTAAGCGTTATTTTTTTCAATTACTGCAGAATGTTTTCAAATAGTAAACGTCTAGGAAAGTATGCGGCTTAAATAAGAAAACCGCAGCTGGTTTGGTGGCTCTCCGAGAGAAAATGGGTCGAATTCAGTCTCGTGAAGATATCAAGAGTGTGAAAGGCCTTGGTGCAAAGTCATTCGAGCAGTGTGCGGGTGAATATTTTTCTATTTTCAGCTCTCATTTTCATTTCTCATATTTGCTTTAGCTTCCTACTTTTTTAGTTTTCCGTTTCCATATGCGTCTGATGTTCTGACTCCGTAAAGGCCTAATCATGCCTCCTGCTGGAAATTGCGCGTTTCGGGAGAGTCGACAGACAGGAGTGCTCCTCGGGACGATAGTGGACAGAGCCAACCGATTTTCATCTAAGGCAGCGTTTATATAATACTTTGCGCAAGGAACGGTTCTGTCGCTTCTACTGTAGCGACTGCCTATTTGGAAGCTCACTGTAACCGCGTTCGGGCTTCGAAGCTAGTACGCGTGTCCACTTCTACAACTCATCAAAACATCGCTTCCATTACTAGTTAAGTATGTCCCGTTTATCCAGCCCCTTGCTTTTTTCAGTAGTTACTACTTCCGATCTCAGACCACTCGGGTCTTGCGAATGGAAAAAAAGTGAGTACTACTTGACATCTTCTTGATACGCGTAACGGCGGTCCATCATTCTTGAAGAAAGTCCAAGTTAATGACTAAAAAGGAGAAGAAATGGCTAAACAGGCATGATGTCCTCACTTAGTAGATCCAGCTGCGAACAATTAGCACTGGAGCATTCTCGGTCCTAGTTGTGCGACTGCCGCATTTGATAGAAGCGACTAAATTCCCGCTTTCGCGAAGTATGAATGCTGCCAGCTTCTTTGTCGATTTTCCCAAATCGCGGACTTTCCGTATTTGTAAAGTATGAACGCCGCAAAACAGCTTCACCTTGCTTATCTTCATAGCCATTTTTGAACAACATCAGTTGTTTCTTGGCAATTCACTTCCAAGTTCAGGTTTCCTCACAGTGAATATTAGTAGCGAAAACGGTATGAATGGGCCATCGAAGAAAAAGAAGAAGCTGTCAACTGAACCGCTGGATAGAACTATTGTGCATCCGTCACAGTACGGAACGGCGAGAAAGTCAGTACTTTATAATCGAAAAATGATCAATCTATTTTAAGTGTCTTTGTTCGAAGTTTCCAAATAGGCTACCGGGTCAGAATTGACTCCCTACTGTTTTCTTTTCAGCCTGCTTTCGCGTGTCGGTCTCTCACCATCGGATCTTCCTTGCAATGATCTTCAGCAGAAACTTCATAATCTCACCAACTTAACAGACGAAGAAGCTGCCGTTCGTGATCTTCTATGCACTGAAATCAAGACATTGCCTCCTCCCGATCTGATGGTGGGTGAATTGAACTTTGAGATTTTGTTCCTAATCCTCCACCTGACTTTCTTCATTGAATTAGAACTTATTTCCCAGTTTTGCTGACTCTGAGCAGTCGTAATCACGATGTTGTGTCTTCGTTCTCTTACACAAAAATCTTCAAATTCCCCCTTTGTCAGTTGAGATGCAGTCGTTCTTGGCGTAGACCGGGGCGTGTCAGGGAGGGAGGCCGAGTTTGGCGAGGCGCCGCCCTTTGTCTACCAATTGTTGCAGCGGACAAGCGACACCAGTTGGTCGAAAGGCGTTATCGCCGCTCAAACCCTGCCCATTCCCCGCCTCACACGCCCCAAAGTACAGCAAAAGAGTTTGTAGAAATCATTGTAGGCGACGATACCCGAACACTTCTTTTCTCTTTTTTTTAACGGCACGCGATTGCCATCCATGGACGGTGGGTTCAGATATGAATATCAGGGCACAAAATAACTCGACAAGGGAGGCAAAAGCAAAACAAGTTTGTCGAAAACGCACTGAACTAGACCCGGTTCGTTCTAACCACCATATAAGCGTACGGTATGAATGTAGAAAAGAGAGGCAAACGGTAGTATGGCGAGAGAGTACACAGATGTTTGAGACCCTACCGCTATACAGCGGTGGTGAAACGAAATGACAAAGGTGGAGAGGCACTTGGGGGCCTAGAGTTCATATCGTGGCAGAGTCCTGGCATTTTTGTCATCCATTTTCTAGTCGCGAAAAAAGGAAATGCGTGCTACGCCATGTTCATGAAGTACGCAACTACGCCGTCCGCACTCCCTCTTCCCCCCCCCCCTCCCTTATGTGGAGTGTAATAAATGCACTACAGAGTCCCCAATATGTATGGCCGTAACGGTAGGATAGTAAGAGGTTGTCCCGCTTACCGTGTACCAACGCGTGGTTTTAAAAGCAAATTCAATATCGTTCCCGCTCAGACCAACAAATGCTTCCATTCAATGTCAAGGAAGATGGAAATGCTGATTTACATCGGCTGACACCAAGCCTTCCTCCCTAAGGCTGCGTTTATACTTTGCGGCAGCGTAGCGTAGCGTAGCGCAGCGTAGCGTAGCGCTTCCAGCGTACGCCAGCGGCAGTGCCGAAGAGAGGATGCATATCGATCTAGCTTCACCAGCGTCACCAGCGGCACGCTGGCGTACGCTAGCTGCACCGCTAGCGTACGCCAGCGTTTCTCCAGCGTTTCTCCAGCGTTTCACCAGCGTTTTGCTAGCGCTTGCAGCGGCAGGGGAGTAGAGACTATGGGAGAGCTGGAGGGTACAAAACTCATCGATTGCGCGTCTCCCACTCGCCCTTAGTCTCTACAATGCACATCGCTTCTGCGTCTCCGACGGCCCCATAGTCTCTACGATGCACATTGCTTCTGCGTCTCCGACGCCACATAGTCTCTACAATGCACATCGCTTCTGCGTCTCCGACGGCCATATGGTCTCTACAATACACGTCGATTCCGCTTCTCTCACGGCCACATAGTCTCTACTCCCCTGCCGCTGCAAGCGCTAGCAAAACGCTGGTGAAACGCTGGAGAAACGCTGGCGTACGCTAGCGTACGCCAGCGTGCCGCTGGTGACGCTGGTGAAGCTAGATCGATATGCATCCTCTCTTCGGCACTGCCGCTGGCGTACGCTGGAAGCGCTACGCTACGCTGCCGAAAGTATAAACGCAGACCCCCTAATAACACCGTGAATCTGACTGAAGGTCCGTGCGCAAGATGGGGTGCCTCTCGAAAAGGAATTCATGAAAATCTGTTCTTTCTCGTGTTTTTCAACTCTAATATAAACTGTGTAATTGTAACCTTTTAAGAAGGATATTCGCAAGATGGCTTCCCTGAAGGTCGGTGAAGAAGTGATTGGACGAGTGTCAAACCAGGTCGAGTTTGGACTCTTCGTAGACATTGGAGCAGAAAAGAGCGCACTTGCTCATCGCAGCACGCTTCGCCAACCTTATCCAGAGGTATTTATTTGAATTACTGTTTCTGTTCTGCTTTTTCTCTCCAAAAAAGATGCTCAAAAGTCGAAAGGAACTTTGAGAAATTCAAGTTACTTTGAACCACCAATCATCGCTAATGTTTATTGTTTTCAACTAACCTCTCCTATCACTACTATAGTCTCGCACTCAGCCTTCTGCCCCTTCCTTCACCGGAGTTCTCTTTTGCTTCCAGTACACTTTGATTTTAGCTTTGCTCTCTTACTTCGTTTTTTAAACTTCCCTTCCAGCTTCGCATCACGTTCCGAAAGGCATCTTCCAATGGCAATAGACAGCGGTGATTGCGCAGCCAAATTCTCTTCTACCTCCGGACATCTGGAATCACAGACCTTCGACGTCGCGACACATCGCCTATGTACCCTCGCACTTGAAGCGGTTCATACATGTGAGGACCTTGTTGCCCCACCTCCTTACCACTACGGCTCTATCTGCATCCCAACACAGCAGTAGCATGCTAGGGGGTTTTGCTGCTACGTGAGGCGCAGTGCATCAAATATTTGACGAAGGCGATGATCAGAAGGCCACATGCGAAACAAAGCGTCAGTATTCTATATTCTATCCGACGCAGTTCTACATCTACGGTAGTGGTGTCAGTGTAGGATTCGGAGCAAAATCCACTTGTATATGGACCAGAGTTGGTCGATTAGCTTTCTTCAGAGTCCTCAGCAAGTCTGTGCGGTGTTAGCGAGCGATTTCCTCTTCTCGTAACCACACAATATGGACAATATTGTGTCAAGCAAGAGACAAACTTTATCATGGTCGTTTGTGATCAGTTCGTTGTCCACGCTTGCCTGCCACTCACCCGCTTCACAAACTAATTAAGCGAACGACCTTTGGCGCGCGGCCACACCCATCGCGCGCTGACACACCCCTTGATCCGCAACGAACGAGACACGTCCATATACCACCCTGTGCGAATGAGTCAATGAAAGCGCGCATTTCTAGGACACTTTTCTTCACAACTATGAATGACCCAGAAGACCTCATTTTCAGTTGGCTATAGTCGGGTGAGTCGGCCAGGACAATGTCGCAGCATTGACAATCAATCACCTTATTTCACCAACGTGCCACGACTAGCTGCTAAATTTGGCGCACACGCAAAATTTATAATTGATATCGTCACAGTCAGTCGGAGCGGTGATAGGAGTGTGGGATGGGCAACCCCCTGTCTGCGATCTCGATCTATACCAATGGTTGATCGGTTTAGGAAAAAAAAACAGTGGTAAAAAGCATCGTCGGTGTGGGTTCTTCTTATTGCCTACTGTCCCTCCATGCCATGCCCCGGACTCGCTCGCGACGTAGTCGACTGTATTTCGTTTTCTGCAACACGAGAGGTGACTCCTTCTGGTATCCGGAAAATTTTTGTATGGTGGCAAGTCTATAGTCGCGTAGAATGAGCCGGTTCAGTCACTGGGAAGTACCTGACAGAGAGCCAGGGGCTCACGATTGCTTGGTCGCTCCACCTATCGAACACTTACGGTTTGCACTGGCATTGCTGTGAGGCTCTCACCCGCGCACTCAGTGTCTCTCCGCCTCTCGCTTCTTCGTGTGTTCCTCCAATTTTCGAGGTCAGCTGTAAAAAAAGAAAGCTGTAATGAATCGGATATATCCTTCCGTCTTCTGCAGCCGATCTCCCTTACAATATCTGCTACGTTTCCTTTTGTCCTCTTCTTTTCTTCTGGCCTCAGTTTGACCTCAAACATTCTTCTTTTCATGTTTTTTTTGTGATGGGGTGGATTTATTTCACTTTCTCCAGGTTGCCTTAAGGAACTCCCCCTTCCTCACTATTCGGAATACAGAAATAAATAAAATCCAATTTCGTGACAAGTGGTATTCTTGCAACATGACTAAGAAGTGTTTTTGAAGGTTGGAGCAAGTCTCATGTTCATTATAACGAGTGTCGACCAACAGAAGGGTAGAATCGGAGTACGACCGGTCAACTGAAGAATCGCAGTTTTGAGAATTCTGATCTCTTTGTCTACATTTCTCTCTCTACTTTAATTTATTTGTATTTATCTTTCTGCAAATGTCTCAGTAATAAGCTCAGGTGTCATAAACAACTCATTCTATGTGATTATTTGATTGTGTGCTCTCTGGTCTGCTGGTCATGGTCGCGGATAAAGCGATTTAGACTTTATAACCTGTAGAATTTGCTTTTTGGTGAGATTTCGCGGCGTCAGGTTCGCTAGCTCTCATTCACTCAAGAATGCCCCAAAGTTGTTGTCTCATGGCCCATTCCTATAAGTACTAAAAACGGTGCTCCGGCAAGGGTTCATCATGGTTAAGGGTTTCCCTGGTAGGAAAAAGAGCGTTTTAGTTTCTAAGGGAATGGTGATGGGGCCCTCATGGCTGGTTTTCACCGTTTCTCTGCCCAATCATTTCATTTCCTGAATGGCAGATGTTGGGAGAATAGTGTTCTGTTTTGGGAGGGAAATGTTCGGCAAGAGTATGTACCCGCCTCGACTCTGACGAAGAAACGAGTACGAATAGTGCCTCGATTGAGCACAGGACCATGAGTAACTTGTTCACGATCA